AAAGCACCAGCCCCTTCATGGGCAAGATAGTGATGGTCTCAGGGGGAGAGTTTGCTTTGTCCCTCAACAACCCACTTAGTGGCTCCAAACTTTGTGCCATTGTTGGAAGGGGTGGGAAGGTGAGGGTCTGGCTGGCTCTTCTGTATCCATCAACCTTACACCCACCCACCCACTTACCCACTTATTCACCTACCCACCTATCCACCCACTCACCTATCCACCCACCCACCCACCCACCTATACACCCACCTAACCCTCCACCCACCCATTCACCTACCCACCCATCCACCTATATATCCACCCACCCACCCACCCACTCATCCAACTACCTACCTACCCACCCATCCACCTATCCACCCACTCATACATACACACCTACACACCCACCCATCCATCCATCCACTCACCCATCCATCCATCCACTCACCCATCCATCCATCCATCTATCCATCCATCCATCCATCAAGAGGAGGAAGGGAAGCATGATGACCATGTCATGGTTACTGACCACACTCATTCATTCAATTCATTCATTCTCCAAATACTTGTGGAGAACCTAGAGCTACGTGCTGGCCCCGCAGGACACAGGGAGGATCTGAATTTCCAACTCTTCACAGTGTAGTTTCAAATCAAGGGGACCCTATTTTACTTCACAGAGCCTGCTTGGCATGTGTTAGGGGTGCTCCCTACACAATGGCAATGGATCACAGAACTCTGGGGACAGCCCCAAGGAGACCTCTGCTGTGCAGAATGTCTTTGTGAAATCCTATTTTAGCCTCACCGAGAGATACAATTTATAGGCCAAGGAGAAAACTACATTTCAGCACTTTCCAATGAGTTCTCTATTTAATTTTTTTTCCAGCAAGAAATGATGACACGAATCAGCAGACAACACCTTCTGACTACTAAAACCAGAAATCAGTTCGTCTCTCAGCTGCCTGTGGGGCCCAGGCATGGCCATGGGCACACCTGGGTTGGAACTCTGATCTTCTCTGCTTGGTTGCAGATCTCAGCTAGATGCAGACCAGGAGAGACAGCAGCATTCGTGGCCTCATCTGCCCTGGGATGACCCGAAAGGAGACACTCACAAGGCTGGGGCAGTGACTGGTGCAGACAACTGGGTGGGTGCAGGGAGGGGGCTGCTGCAGTCAACAAACATCCTGGACAGCCTGGAGAGCCCTGGCCTGTGTCTGCACACTACACACATGGGACAGGCAATCAATGCCAGTAAGTTTATTAAAACACGCAGAGTGCATGAACAGGAGGCCCCACCTTCTCGGATTAGGCCTGAGTGAGCCAGGGCACTTGAGGTCTTTCTTTTCTGGGTCCCTCTCCCCCTCGTGCAGGAGGGCCAAGGCCCCTGGAAGGAGGAGCAGCAGGGCTCCCAAGCAGCCTGGCCAGCTCGTGGCGGTCAGTACCAGTCCCTGCAGGCAGCCCAGGGAGCTGATTGAAATCTACAGGTGCCACCCAAGGTTGTCACAAGATCTGGACTCGAGACTTGGCACCCTCAGGCTGCGAATGGCAGGAGCGGCTACCTCCCCTTATTAGTCCAGCTTCGCTTTGTGCCACAGAGGAGGAGAGTGAGTGTGGCCGTGGGAAGGGCCACCCCAAGGGGACTCCTCATCTCCTCCTGGAGCAGGTGCAGATCCGTTTTCTCCCAGAAGGATCGCCTCTTTCTCCATAGTTGCCTTACCATGTTCTCCTCAAGATGGCTCAATTATGAAAAGCTGGTGCCCACCACGGCCCCACCAGATAGAAGGGAGCTGGCCCTGGGACCGAGAAGCAAGGCTCACTGCTCCCTCCCCCCCCCCCCCCCCCCCGCCGCCCCATGCTGTGCTGAGACCTCCTGGATACAGCACATCAGCATGGAGCAAGGTGAATATTTCTCTCCAGGCATAAACTCCCAAGGATTAAAGCCTTCCAGTGCCCAAGAGAAGGTGGGAAAGAAAATTCTGTAGGAAGGACAAGAAATGCCTGCCATGCAGATTGTAGCACACACACACACACACACACACACACACACACACACACTCACACACCATGGAGCATCAGACTGCCCTTCTGATCCTCCTCAGCGATGTACCCAAGTCCTCCAACGTTCCCAAGCATCCATCCACCTATGAAACCCAGGTTGCAAGAACCCAACAAAATGGAAAAGTGCCTGGAGCCTTCTGTAGGGGGCCTGGCGCGTGGAATTGATTAGATGCATCCGGGGAATGTCGGGGCTGGAAAGGGCTCGAAAGATGACCTCATGCTGGTCTCTCATCTCGTAGACAAGAAAAACAAGGCCCCGAGAGGAGCATAGACTGGCCCAAGGTCACCTAACACATTTGCCACATGCTGGAGTGGGTGCCCACACCCCTGCTTGATAGCAGGGCCTGGGCCAAGGAGTCCAACTCACAAGCTAGGCGAGGGTGGGAGAAGCGTGTTCGGCAGCTCCTCTCAGCCCCTGGCGTCCCCAAATGTAAGCTTTCTTTCTCCACTTAACAAGGAAAAATGTGGTGTTTCTGCCCAGAAAAAAAAAATACAGAAATCTGAGAAATACTAAAATGAAAACGAAAATCCCAGGTCTGAACAAAAAGGCCCTCTTTTAAAGATTCTTTTTCCCGCCTTCCTCTCTCGTGGCTCTCCAACCCCCCCTCCCCGCCCCAAAATATTTTGCAATAACAGTAATGCTGAGAGGAAAGAAAAAATAAAAATCTGATGCACTTAACAGATATTTCGGTACAATAATGCATCACAGATGTTCATATCAAACTGTGCACGCCTGCATACAGTTTCACCAAGAAAGGCTGTTGCATTTCTGACTTTGGGGTGGGGATCCCTAACCACCCCTCCGCCCAGACTCTACAATCCCACCCTTCGCAGCAAGCCCTGGCTGCCCAATGGAAGAGGGGGATATTTCATCACCTTGCTCCAGCCCGATAAGAGGACAAATTGGCAGAGTTGGCGGTACTGGCAGGTGGTGAAGCCTGTGCAGATTAGGGGACCAAGACAAGCCCGACAAGCCCTGTTTCCTTTGGTTCTGGGCTCACTTCCTGTCATCCTCTGGGGCAGCTGAGCCCAAGGCAGGGTTCGGGTGAGTCCAGGCTGGGGACCAGGCAGGCGCCTTTCTGAAACCAGAGATCCGCGTCTGTTTGATCTTCAAACATGGCTTTGGAGACTGTCAGCGGGCTCCTGGTTGGCCGAGGCATCACTCCCTAACGCGGATCCCACACGCTTCCCAGCAAACGTTTGCAACCTACCAAAGCCGTCATCTGCCTCAACAGCAGTGTTTCCAGACCTCGCAGAAAGATAGTTTTGTTGTTTTAAGAGCAACAGATTAAAGGCAGGGGGTGTTTAACCAGAGGGCCTGCCTGCTCCCTAAGGGCCTTGTCAGATTCCTCTGTGGTCGGTACAAAGAGGGTGTTGAGAGTGATGGCGGAACCCCACCTCCCCAAAATCAAAAGATACGGAGGCCAGAGCGAGAGCGAGGCCTCTGAACAGAGAGGCCTCCCACAAACCTGCCTTCAAAGTGAGCTGGGTGTCACGCCCCAGGGAGCTCAGCACAGACAGCATCAGCTCCCAGGGCCGGCAGGAGAAAGGCCCAGCACAAGGCAGGTTAGCTCAGAGCAGCCAGGCTGCAGGAGAATGCACAGGATTTTCCTCCCCGTGGAGAAGGAGTCAGGCGTAGTCAGAACCCCGCGGGGCGTGACTAACTGCCCCAGTATTCCTGCCACCAGGGCCCTCTGGGTAAGGGCTCCGCAATTACAGGAGAGCCAGCAGGAGAACCGACAAACCAGCCTTTCTTTTGGCTGGCAAATCAATCTGGCTTCTTACCTCCCCAGGGACAAGACTGCATTTCCCCTGGAAAAACAAAGGCCAGAGATCTCCGGAGAGGGATCAGTTTCTGCCGCGGTTTCCCTGGTGAAGCGCCTGCAACATCCCGAGGCCAGCCGCAAACAGGTCTGGTCCCCGAGGTAGTTTCCAGCCCAGTCCATTCCTGGGGCTGCCTCCTCCATGGAGAAGCACATCGCTAGGAGAGAGGGGGAGGGGTGGGGTGGCGGGGGGGGGATCACCCCTCCCTCAAGGCAGGGGGCCAAGACCCATCCGGGGGCCTCCTCGCATGAGCCCCCAGTCCTGACTCAGAGACCCCCACTCCCCCATTCCAGAACTGACAGCCTGGTCTCCAGGCACAGATGTGAACTCATTGTTCCCAGAGCCTCAGAGTGGAGTTTGGGGCCAGTGAGTTGCGAGTGACCTCTGCCCATGGAGACGGGCTTTTAATGACATTTGGCTGGACTGGGCCTCTGGCAGCCAGAGACTTTAAACCCCCTCAGTGCCTCCCTTCTCCCTGCCCCCAACGCTGAGGTTCAGAAATCACAACTGTCAACCTTTAAGCGAACACATTTCTCTGAAATTATTAACCCCCGGGCTGTCCTTGCTGATTCTCTCCTGGCCTCGGGAGAGGCAGAGAACGCTGCAAAGGCCTAAGAAAACCACTGCCGAGAACGCTGCCGAGAATGGTGCAAAGGCCTAAGAAACTCGGCGGAGCTCAAACAGCAAGAGGGGTAAACGAGGCGCCCTATGGCCCCTGGCCTAGGACCACACTGCCCTCTGGGCTTCCTCCTGCGCACAGGGCTGTGAGGCGCACCCCTCACCGGGCAGCCTCAAGAGGGCCTTCTGCCCCAGTCACAGCTCCTCAGGAGAGCCGGGGCTCAAACTCGCCAACTCCCTCTTTCCTTTTGCATCGCTGGAGCCTCCCAGGCAAATTCTTCCTACTCAGGCAAGCACAGCAGGTGGGGGTGTCTCTCCTCCACAGGAAACAATCGCCTGAACGCTTCGCCCCTTTCTAGAACTCATCTCCCTCATATCACCACAAAAGCAAGCATGCCGCCCCCTCCCACTTCCGGGCCCCTCAGACTCTTCCCCTTGGGGGCCAGGCAAGGTTCTGGCTGCCCCCAGGGAGGCGGATACACAGAACAGGGTCATGTGGTGGCGGTGCCGGCAGCCAGACCTACCTGGGAGAAGTTGAGGCCATTGAGCGGATGGCACTGCTCCTCCACCCGCTCCACGGCGCCCGTGCTCTTCCTCATCTTCTCGGCCTGCTGGGCCAGGTAGAGGTCCAGCACGGGTACCCCTCGGGAGCGCACGTCAGTCTCAGTGAGCGAGTTGACCATGAGCATCACCCACACGGGCCTCTTGCGCTCCCAGTTGCCCGCGATGGCATTGAACAAGTAGTCGGCGTAGAGCCCCTTGCCACGCTGGGCTGGCGTCATCCACGAGGGCATCATCAGCTTCACGTAGTCCAGGTGGCGCTTCAGCCGCCAGTAGAGCTCCCGGGGCAGCACGTCCTGCAGGTTCTCGCCATGCGGCAGCAGTTGGCAGCTGGCTAGTGCCGAGATGGTGTAGGGGTCGGTGAGGTCCAGCTCAAAGTAGACGCGGGCGCTGGCCTGGAAGGCTGCCTTGGAGTTGTCGGGGATGAAGTCCCAGACGCGGGTGTAGGGCACGTGGATGGTGCCAAACAGGTAGGCTGGGGGGTCACGCCGGATCGTCCACAGGAAAGAGTTGAGGTCCCTCTGCTGTGGGAAATGGGAGGAGAGGGCACACGGGACAGATGAGGCCCAGGACAGGGTCAGCCAGGGTCAGTAGGGGAGGCGAAGAGCAAGGGGACGGGGGGGAGGCCCAAGACCTGCACACAAATCCTGCTCTGCCTCAGCCAGAGCGTCTTGGGTCCTCATTTCACATCCTTCAGACTCAGCGAAATGGAATGGGGCGGGGGCTATGAAGGGGATCCTGGGCACGGCTGAGATGCAACCACAGGCATAAGCTTCCCCTGAGCTCAGGCATGGGGAGCCACACAGGCCCATCCCTGAGGATCAGCTTGAGAAGATTCACATGTGGCTACATCTTCCCAGGCCGGGCTTCAAGTGGAGTAGAGCTCTGACAGAGGCCCCGGAATCCTGCTCTGGTCAAAGGGAGGGAGTCACAGAACTTCCACCTCACCCTGTGGAGGGCAGTGCTCAGAGTGCCAGCAGAACATCTATTAACAGCAGTGCATCTATTAAAACACCCACCCTCCCATTCACTGGGGGACAAGTTTTCTTTGGCGAGGTCAGGGGATAGGGACCAGTCACTGTCTCCCACCAGCTGAAACCACAGAGGAGAAAGTGCTTTAAACCCACAGGCTAAAGGGAAGTTTCAACGCCCTGGTTTGGGAGGGGAAGATTCCACAGAATTAGTCCCCCAATTGCACATATTTTGGGCGTTTTCCAGACTCCTCCTAGAGAAAGATGTGCTTGGTCTCTAACCCTAATTTTCTGTCATCTTCTGTGACTAAGCTCAGAGACTTGGGGAGGGCCAGTAAGGGTGGATGTTACAGACAAAGAGGAGGAAGCAGAGCAGGGGTTCTTTCTACCTAAACTGGGTAGTTTAGGGCTGAGAGTTGCGTGGGAAAAAAGGACTTCTACAAGTCTCATGACAACGCCGTTTTCCATCCAGGAAAGTCCCAAAAGTCCTCCTGCCCACCTGTAAGTCTTAGGTCAACTGACACGATTTTCCTGCCTGATTCGAGTGTGATGAAAAGTACGTCACAGTGGGTAGAGGGAACAGTGCCTCAACTTACTAACCACCATGGGCTGCGAACCTCAGACTCACGCAAGCCAGAATAGCTGTCCAGGGCTGGCCAGCGCCGCTGTGCACTGGGCAGGCCTGCAGGCGCACCTTGCCCAAGGTCACCTAACTGCCAGGAACAGGACAGGAGGGGAGGGTCCGACCCCCATCTGGGATGCCTGCCTCCAACTCGACTGTGTTTCCCCGCACAGCGGTGGCGGTGACACAGGGAAGTCAAGGGATTCCTTGGTTTGGAAGGAGAATTAGGAGAACCTGTAATTACGGGACCCTCCAGAAAGTATTAGGCCGGCGCGCCGGCACTTCCTTCCTCTCCTCTGGAATCACCCTGGCTGTCGGTGGAATGGGGGCGCCTGGGAGAGCGGTACGGGCACCTGGGCTGGAGAGGGGAGAAGCGAGTTCTAGGCAAGTCCACTCTAGGTCGGAGAGGGAGGGCAGCGCGGAGGGCGAGAAAGGCAGGGGCCAGAGAGGGAGGGGAGCGAGAGCCGGGCGCAGAGGCGGGTGGCGACGGTGGGTGCAAGCGCGGGGCGCTGAGCCGCGCCGGCGAAACGCGGGTCCGAGGCGCGGACAGCGGGCGCCCCGCGGGACGCAAGGTCCGGCGGGTGGGTGCCGCGGGGGCGGGAGGGGCGCCCCTTGGGGCTCCCGGCGAGGGGCCGGAGCCCGCGGGCAGGAGCGGGACGCGCGCGCGCGCCGGCGCCCCGCGGGCGGAGGCGGCGCGCGGGGCCAAGGTGGGCGCGGAAGGCAGGACCGAGCCCGCGCCCCCGGGTGCTCGAGTGCCCGGGCGCCGGGAGCAGGGAGGCTGGGCAGGCGCTCGCTCACCGATCCGGGCGGCCGGCACTGTCCTCCGTCCGGCGGCTGCGGGCGGGCGCGGGCGGTGGCCAGGAGGACGGCGAGCAGCGGCCCCGCCAGGGCGGCGTGCATCCTGCCGGGGCCCGCGGGGCGCGGGGGACCCTCCGGGCGGCGCCCCCTCCGCGGGGCGGGGAGCCCCCGGCGGGCACGGAGGCTCTCCTGGAGCGCGGGGCTGCGGCCGCGGGATGCGGGAGCCCTCTGGGGCGTGGCTGGATGTCCCCGCCGGACCCGGGGGTCCCTCTGGGGCGGGGCTCCGGCGCCGGGCGGGGGGGCCCGCTGGGGCGGAGCCCCCTCCCCGGGGAGCGCCGCCGCGCTGGGCGCGCCGCGGGCTGGTGCGAGCGCGGGGTCCGGGGGCGCGGGGTCCGGGGGCGCGGGGTCCGGGGGCGCGGGGTCCCGGGGTGATGCTGGGCACGGGGGCGCGCGAGGGCCCGGGGGCGCGGCGCGGCGCTCCGGGGGCGCGCGGGGCACAAGTGCGCGGCGGGCGCGGCGGGCGCGGGCCGGGCGGCGGCGCCCGGCGGCCCGGGCCGGCTCAGAGGGGCGGCGGGCGGCCGCGCGGCCGCTGCCCGGGCTCCGCCATGCTGCTCGGCGGCCGGGAGGGAGGGCGGGAGGAGGGCGGGAGAGCGGCGCGGAGCCGGGCCGGGCGGGGGGCTGGGGCCGCCGGGGCGGGGGGCGGGGAGGACCGGCGCGGGGGGCGGGGGCCGGCCGGCCGCGGGGCGTCGCGGCGAGCTCGGCGCCCGGGCGCGGCCAGGCGGGCTCCGCCGGGCATGGCAGGCGCCCGCGCGCTCGCTCCGCGCGGCTCCTGCGCCCGGCGCCACTTCCCAACTCGCCGAACTTCGGCGCAACTTTCCCTGCCGGCCCGCGGCCGCCTCCCGCCCTCCCGCCTCGCCCGCTCCGGCGGCCGCCAGGGGGCGCCGGGCCGAGGCCCCCTCCGCCGCGGTGCCGGCCGACGCTTCCCGGGAGGACCGGCTCGCCGCTGCCGCTCGCCCCGCGCCGCGCGCGCAGGTCCCGGAGCGAGTCAGCGGGCCGGCGCGGCGCTCGGGGAGGCCCCGGCAGCGGCTGCTCCCGACCGGAGCACTTTGCCGAGAGGGGCGTGCGCGAGCTTGAGCGGCGAGGGGAAGCCGAGTGACGTGCGCGAGCTCCGCGAACGGCGACGAACGGAGGCGCGCCAACAGCGGGCTGGTCCTCCTCGAAGGTCCCCGAGCCCCCCGGGTGCGCAGTTCTCGGACCCTCACGCGTTTCCTCGGAGCGGCCGGAATTTCTGTCCCAGCCCTTCAGGCCCCAGGGAAGAGCCCCGACACCCTACCTCACCCCCCCCCCCAAACTGAGTCAAATCAAGCTTAGAGACGGCGAAGACCCAAGCCCGGGGACCACGTCCAGCACATGGGGAAACTGAGTCGCTTAGCAATCTGTTCTTGGGAGCTCCTTTCTCCCTGTCCTGCAAACAGAGCCCAGACGTGAACGAGGCGAAACGGTCAGGAGCCCCGAGAGCCGGAGAGCCAGGCGCAGACGTGCGAAGAGGGGACTGAAACGGACAGTGGGTGTCACGAGCGACAGAAACCAGGTGCCCAGAGCCGGATCGAAGGAGCTGAAGCTGGGGAAGAGGGCCGGGAGCAGACCTGGAGGGCACACCCCAGGGCCCGAGGCACCCAGATGCAGGGCATCCCGGCAGGAGCCGAGGTGCGGAGGCAGGGGGACAGGGGACCTTGCTGACTATGGGGGGCCACAAGCCCTGAGGCTCAGCTGGAGGTGGAGCTGTGTCATCCTCCGCACCGCCCCTTCTTGGCTGGAGGCTCCTGCTAGGAGTGGGAGGCCACAGGGGCTGAGTAGGGAGAGGCTGGAGCCCAAGTTTTGGGGAGGCCGGACTGGGACAGGTAGAGGGCCCCACCATCCAGGAGGTGGGTAGAAAGAGGAGAGGTTTCCTGACTCCCTACCCAGTGCTCTCCTTCTATGACTACTCTTATCTTTAAGCACCAGGTGAGCGGCTGAGGGAGGATCTTTGTCCCTTCTCAGGGTGAGGAAGGATCACTAGCTGGACGGGCACAAGATATGGATCGTGGGAGGATTAGGGAGACAGATGGGACCCCTAGAGACTGACAGGCTAAACCGCCTGAGAGACCATCTTCGTGGGCCAAAGCAATGCGTGGTGGCCATTTCTTGTGGTTCACCCTTGGGGCCAGCTCTATCTCTCACACTGCGCACACTTAGGAACAGAGGTGCAACAACCAGAGTGCGGGGACCTGGTGACAGATCAGAGTGCCCGGTGTGTTCCACACCCAGAGCTCCAAGAACTGCAGCTGATAAGAACTGTCCTTTCAAGGGCTTTCACTGCTGAGGCGCAGAGGCTACCTGCCAAGCCGCCCATCCTTGGGCGAGGAGAACAGAGCGGGAAAGGGTGAGGAGAAAGGGTGAGAAAGGAAGACTTGTCCTACCCAGGAGGGTGCGTGATGGTCTTCATGGAGAACTGGAAGCGGCACACAGAGGGGATTTCAGATAGAGTCCGAGCAAGTTGAAAAGGCATCCGGATAATGAAGGCCTGTGCACATGAATAGGTCGGTGTAGTTCTTATTTATTTTAAGTATTTAAGGATAAAACCTTTTCCTTGTATTCGTATTTTCTTTCTATGGTGTGTGTGTGTGTGTGTGTGTTTGTGTGTGTGTGTGGTTTTTAAAGTGCACCAGTGCATTTTTTCTAAACCAGTAGAGATTTCATGGTTGACTGTCATGAGAGCCAGCTCAGGCTTCCTTCTCCCTGATCCTGTCCTCTGCCTGCGTGACCAGAGCTAGAACAATGACCTTCTCTGCATCTCCCTCCACTCAGCTCCCTGTCTGCATTCTTTCTCTGAATCAAGGTTTGCAGTAACACTTTTGTCACTGAGGTTGTTAGTGAGACGCAAGAACAGACAGGTTTCCACTTCTAGGTACCCGCCCAGGAGAATTAAAACATATGTCTACACTGAATCTTGTGCACAAATATTGACAGTAGCATTATTTAAGATAGATAAAGGTGTCTTAGTGGTTTAGCGGTGAGCATAGCAGCCTTCCAAGGTAGTTAAGGGGGTTGAGGAGATAGCACATAGGTCCAACGCCCATGCTGTGCACCTGCCCGATCTGGCTTGATCCCCAGGATTGCGTGGCTCCCAAGGACCCATGGTGTGGCCATAGTGGTCCCTGGAAGTGCTGTGCCTGAGAGCACCACATTCTCGGATCCTCACATTGAATTGCCTGAACTGATAGTCTGAGTATCACTGGGAATGGTGCCGATGGCCGTCTGAACACTGCCTGGAAGCCCCGACCCCAAACGTGGAGGTTAAAAAAGAGAAAAATAAAATAGCTAAAAGAGTGAAATAACCCAATATCCATTAGCCAATGAAGGCAAATAAAAAATAATAGAGTCACGTGAGGGTAGTTTCGGTCACAAAAAGTAATGGAGTAGGGATACAACAGGGGTCAGTCTCACATCTATTATGCTAGCGCGAGGGCTAGCTCAGGGGTCAAGGACCATGGCATGGATGCAAAGAACCCAAGTTTGGCTGCCAGCACGTGAGTTTGCGTGCCCTCCAGTACCACCAAGTGCAGCTCAGAGGACATTGAACCCAAGTCTAACTTGGTGAAGCTGGCTTGCTCGGGGTTAGGAGGAATTGGGTAGTTAGGGGACCATGACTCTGGCACTAGACTTCTGTTGGAAGGGATGAAAATATTCCAAAATTGATGGTTTGCCCAACTGGGGGTATATTGAACAATCATTGAATTGTACAACTTAAATGAGTCATCTCCATGGCATAAGAATTAAATGTTCATAAAACTGTTACAGAGAAAGGAGGGGGACAGGGAGAGAGAAAGAGAGAGAGAGAGAGAGAGAGAGAGAGAGAGAGAGAGAGAGAGAGGGAGACAGAGACAGAGACAGAGACAGGCAAACAGACGGAGAACATTTTGGACCCTAAGATCAAATGCTCTGGAGAACAAGATCTTAGCACTTCTTCACTGCCTTCTCCCCACGTGTCTAGAAGCTGGGGTGGGTGGTCCTGTTGTCTGGGGCTCTGTCCCACTGTCCCACTTTGTTAACTTCTCACCCAGCAGGTCAGAGGTCTCTGGACCTCAGTTACACTGCCATGAAGGAGATGGCAGAGCAGGTAACCTTAAGGGTGATCTGCTCTAGACACTGGGATTCAGGTCCCAGTACCCCTTACCTCCAGCCCACCACCCACCCCCAAACACACACACCTCTTGCCCAAGCCTTTGGGCAGGATGGAAAGGGGTGGAGGACTCTGGAGCACAGAAGCTTACCTCTGGTAATGGGGCACAGCTGCACTTTCCTTTTATTGCCTTTTAATTGAGTTGTTCAATCAGATGGGTACTGGGAAGCTGTAGGCTGTAACAGCAGGGCAGGAACAGAAGCTGTGTAGCGGAACTAAACCAACAAAGTTGGCCTCTTGAGCAGATTCAGGCGCCTGGTCCTGCCTGTGGGCATTTCTCAGGAAGGGAGATGAGGGGATCCCCTGCTCTGCTGGTCCCATGGAGGAACTCCCCTCTGGCCCACGGACTGCCCTCGCTTCTGGCTGTGGCTTGGCCATTCTGGTGTTTTTAGTTGAACTGACCTGGTGTAACTTCCAGATCCAATCCCCTTTTAGTGTTCCCTGCCTACCCTGCCCAAGGCTCTGTGCTCTCCACCCTGCCACCCCCTTCTGTGGCTGGGAGTTAATCTGGGTGACCAAAAATCTTGGGGATGGGAAGAGGAGGATTCCAGGACCATGTAGAGATGTTAGCAGTACTTCTGACAGCTGACAGTGAAAGAACGAGGAAAGAGATACACTTGTGGGTGATTTGGAAGAGGGCATTTCTGGAAAGAGTGGGGTGGTGGACACATACTGAGGCTGACAAGGACTTAGCATTGCCTCACTAGGTCAGGAGCTAAGAAAGGAGGCTACTATCTGGGAAGAGACAGCCAGGTAGCAGCCCGGGGTCGGGGGTCCTCAGGGAGCTGCAGTCCAGAGAGGAAGACTGAGGTGTGACAACGAGGATGCTTTACAAAGAAAGGGGGCAAAGAGGTAAATGTGAGGCATGTACTTAGGAGAG